AAGATAGAAACATAATTAAACTAATTTAATAATATACATATATGTCAGTACGTATTTTAACGTTAACAGAAATATTAACTTAAGTAAATATAAAATAGAAAAAAAGTTCTTTTAAACGTATGACTGAGGTATTGTATATTGTATATGTGGTATTGTCTGTAGTTTGCGCGAGTATTTATTATTTATTAATATTTTTAAAACATTAACTGTTTAATATATAAAATGTTTTATTAGGTTTCTTTACATTTTATCTTTTTAACTACGGCCCGACGTTTTGGATGCTTTGCGGCAGGCCTTGTTACGGGGGGACGAGAACAGGACGTAGCGTCCTGTTTTATTAAATTTACTAAGAGACAAACAGTTATTAGACAAATTTGTATAATTGATTTTTTTATAATTTCAGTGATGTACAGTTGGATACTAGACTTAGAGTATAGTTACTAATAATAATAAGTATATATATATATATATATATAGCCATACAATGCTGATAAATAAAAGGTGCGAATGCTTAATAATTACAATTTCTTTTCCAATGTCCACATTAATCTTAAAAAAGAACAAAATAATCAACGGACACACACAATATATTGGCTTTATCGGCGAAAAAATCGTCCAAAGATTGTGTTACTCACTCGTAAATTACATCAAAGTGTGTAAGAAACAAAATTTACACCGTTTAATAAAGAAATAACACGAATTTAAAGGAAACTTACGCCTACGCGACTGTTATTCCGACGACATAATATATTATTGGACACTTTGGAAAGTACTAAAGTTGTTATAGGAAAAATTGTTAGAACACTTTATTTGTAGTAGAAATGGGCTTTAGTTTATTATACAAATAGGTATATATATATATATATGTAACATAATATATATAGTTAATAACCGAATCAAATCATTGTATAAATCATACTAGTCCTGTCTGGAGAATCTAGACATGCAATGGGTAGAAATAAATTTTGCACTCGATTCGGTTTCAATTAAGTATTCTACGGCATGTTTAAATGTATAAAGATGAAAGTCGAGAGATGTGTTTTTATATATTTAACCATCCATCTTAATATGTCGCTATTTAGGTATTGATTGAGTATTTTAGCTTCCATCAATTTCTACTCTACCTTAAAAAGATTTATGTATCGTCTATTCAACTGCACATTTTGTAGGCTCTTTAGACCACACTCAGTCGATATATTTATAAAAATCTTTTCTTACAATTTAAATCTTGATATTTTAATTTTATAATTAATGTTTTTAGTATGCAAATCTCGACACGAACGAATCTAATCCAAAACTGCTTTAGGAAGTTAGAACGAACGTCTTGTGAAAACCTCATACGTTTTGTACATTGTACATAAACAGCTAGGGTTATATATATGCAAAAGAACGGGTTCGATTCCAATGGAAGAATAATTAAGGGTGCCGTTTAGTAAGTAGTTCGTAAAAAGAACATATAGCTGTGTCTCTTTCTGCTCTGCGTGAAGGGCAGCATTTATTAGCAGTGTGTTCTAAAGTAAGGACTATAGAAAACATTGGTAAATGCTAGAACGATATTATTTACAAGGTTAATTGCTTAAAAGGTGTCTCGGAGTGGTTCAGAAATTATTAAAGCAAATACAGCGACGCAGTGCCTGAGTCAAATTATCGTTCAGAAATCGCACAATAACTTATTCGTGCATAGTTGATCCTTTGGGAAGGAATGGCGGACGCAGCCCGCCGCGTGCGCAACATTTTTGACGCTAATTCAGCGAGGCGGCTTTTTGGCCATTGCCGACGCTTCCACGGGCAATTTGATACATTTTTACTTAGATATATCTCGCTTTTTAGATACTTGAATAACTCTACGCTATCTTGAGTTACAGATTCTTACACTAAAATAATAATAATAACATTTATGGCTTGCTTACACAACAGTAATGTGCTATCAAATTTTCTTCACAACAAAGAAACATGAAGAGAAATAAAGACCGAAGTAAGAAATACGCTCTTTTTAGTAGATTGTAGAAAACACAGTACCTATGCTATAGAATATCTTTACCCGAATATCTTTTATATTATGTTTAAAACGAATAAAAAACTATATTGTAAATTATTTTGATATTCAACACGAATGTTTGGAAACCGTAGGTACTATTGTTGGGATTTCTTTTTTATTATAGATAGAAATAGAAAAATTAATTAAAGTAAATAAAAATATGATCAAAAACGACAACAGAAGTTGAATATATATTGAAAATTAACAACCAAAAAATATAAAACCACTGTAGTGCATAAAAGTTACATTATGCGGCATAATATTTATAATATACTCAAAGATAAACATAAGATATTCACGAAATGAGATCAATTCGTTTATTTGTGCGTGGAAATCGCGAGAGCATTAATTTTGTTGTAAATGCTCGCGTCTGTTAGCGGCCGCGTGTAATAAAAATCTTATTTTATCATCTAGACCGATGCGTGCGGACTTGTTATTCCGTTTTTGGATAATTTAATTTTTTCCATCTCGTTCCTTGAAACACTTTTCATAATTATTTAGACAGAAAATGTGTTAATCGTCAATTTTTTTCTATTTAAATACTTTGACGAGCTCGTTCGTGTAATGGTAGTAATCTAGGCTAATAATCGGGTCGTAGGTCCGATGGACCGGGTCTAACAATTTATAATTTTCTGAAACACGATGCACTTTGAAATCTGAATATTAAATACCCATTTAAGGTAGGAATATGAATTCGCCCGGGTCACCACCACGAAGATTAAAAGCCGGGAAGTGTAATCGCGGTTTGGTTTCAGTCTGTGGATTTTCGAATATCCAAAGCCAAATATTTTATATTGGGGTATTTTCACTAACACAGGTTGTTTTTTTATGAAAAAAAAAAGGATAATGTCAAAAAATGTTCTGATTTTCAATTTAATACTTAAATATACATTTTAGACTCGCCTTTTTAAAAAAAGCTTATTTCAAAGATATTATTGAGAATAAAGACAAGGTGTAAAAACATTTACTATTGTTATTCAACTATCACTGTCAACCAATTCCCACTGTTGGGAAACCAGAGACTCCAATACATCGTCATTGTTTAGTTAAACAATAGTAAACGATTAATTTTTAGTATTTGCGGTTCTTAGATTCTACTTGAGCTTTTAACTCTGACAAAAGAACTTTTAAACTGAAGGGCGGACATAAAAATATGCTTGTGTTGCTTTTTGTACACCACCTGTGATTTGTTTTGTGACCGGTGTAGTTATATATGTGTATTTCAAATAGGCAGGTACAACTTACATTTTACAGAGCCACAAAGATATTTTCATAAAAGAGACAATAATGACACTACGATAAACCTATTAACCAAATAATTGGAATATTATTAAATCATTGTAAACAAAATGGTTTTATTTTGTTGCATACAGAAGCGCAAAAATAATTTAGTAGAGACTTATATTGGTTACAATAAGTGTACTTTAGATTTTAATTGCTATACGATTGTTATTTGTGAAGTAACTAGCCGCCTTATTCTTTAACTTGAAAAGTTTTAAATACGAGTATAAATATAAATAATAATACACAAAAATATGTCTAAAATTTTCACGGAAGGAAAACTTCACAATACATATTTTCTGTACCTACCTTTATGCTAAATATCTATCAGTCGTTTGGATGTTTCAAAGAACAAACACACAAACAGTTGTACATTTATATTAGTAAATATGTTATAATTTAACGTCCCGGTAGGTCAGTGGTTATACGATAAGCCGACTGGTCCTGGTTTCAAATCCCAGGGATATAGCTGCTATCGGCAGGGCCAGGTACAGAAGTTTCATCAAAGACTTTCCGGAAAATAAAGCCAATTAGTGAATCGGACACAGAAATGCGTTCGCCCCATGCCCCATAGGGGAAAACGGGATTTGAGTTATAGATGTTATCGTTAATACGTAATAGGTTTTATCTCATCTAATCGGCCATTCCACCGAGTGATGCCGCATTCTGCGCTGGACTTAAACCGGTCGAAATGTTGCTATTTATGAATTATTAGAAAAGCCGACGTGCTTCTAAGTTGAAAAGATTTTGTTAAACGCGATTAGTACTCTATCACCTACGAAATGATAATTAGTAATACCAAATGGTTACAGAGTGTGCAGTCATACTTTCTTAACCTTTAAGGGTTTTATTGTTCGAGTACATAACTGAAATTTACTATTGCATATTTATTATTATTATACATAAACATATTACATAGCTGTTATAATAGAAGACTTCACTGTGTTTTTCTTCATTTACATTTTTAAATGTAGTCCCGCCTTATACATATATACAAAAAAAACATAAAAAAATAATTTTTAAACATAGTGATACTTAAACACATTTAAATACAACACTTTAACGGTTTAAAACGCGATATATATTAGTTATTGAAATTAAGGAACTATACTTAACGTACTTACGATCCTTTGTTGAAACGATAACATAATCTGTGTTATCTTGACGTTTTCATTTCATAGCATTCATTTGTTTCGTTCTAATTATACATCAATTGGTAATCTAGAGCGAAAGCGTTAAATAATAACGAAGTACCCTTCACTTTTAAGAGCAAGCGACTGTAAAACTAGGTTTATTACGTGCTAATTTTGTTGAACATATGATTATAATAAATAAACGTGCTGTGCTCTTTAGTTTTTCTTGGTTAATTGAAATATAACGTTTGGTAATACTATATTTTGCTTTGGCTTTTATTATTTTAATCGTTATGGTATTCATAGAGCTGTATTTAGTTGCTCGTTTAAAGATGCACATACGCTATTTTCAATTGCGGCAATGTAACCAATTCTACGTATTCTTTTTATACATATCTAAACAGATTAATTTTTGCCATAGACCACAATTTGGGCTTTACTTATGCATTTATGTTTATCTCAAAAGTTAACAAATTGATATTCACAAAGTTCTTTCCAATTCCAGGTGTCTGTGACGATGTGTGAGCGGTGAGAGCAACTGTCGCGCGATGTTGCGCGCAATTATCTGTGTGCTGGTCGCTTCGGCGGCCGCGGAGCACGTGCGCGAATTCACGGTCCGAGAGAACGCTCGCGCCGGAACCTTCGTCGGCCACCTCGGAGATGAGTTGCCCGACGCAGCCCCACCGTACACCATAGTCCCCGTTCCGGGCAGCGCCGTCAATGACGACCTAAAAATAGATCCCCACACGGGCGAAATACGGACACGAGTGCCATTAGATAGAGAGAATAGGGACCATTACGCTCTAGTCGCTATCCCCGCGAGCGGTGATAATATCCGCGTAGTCGTCCGCGTCTCCGATGAGAACGATAACGCGCCCACATTCCCCACCGCTATCATGAACGTCGAGTTCTCCGAAAACACACCCAGAGACGTCAAAAGAAAACTTAATCCTGCCAAAGATCAGGATTTAGGCATTTTCAACACCCAACGGTATAATATCGTATCTGGTAACACAGATAACGCGTTCAGACTATCCTCGCATAGGGAACGTGATGGTGTCCTGTACCTGGACCTGCAAATTAATGGCTTCTTGGATAGAGAAACGACTGACCACTACGAGTTGGTAATAGAGGCTTTGGACGGTGGTACGCCACCGTTGAGAGGTACCATGACGGTAAATATCACTATTCTAGATGTCAATGACAATCCTCCAGCGTTCGCTGAAACCGCGTATTCAGCAATGATTCCAGAGAACGCCACAGTAGGTACGCCCGTATTAAAAGTGTTCGCTACAGACTCTGACGCGGGTGAGAACGGTCTAATAGAATATTCCATCAACCGTAGACAAAGCGACAAAGACAACATGTTCAAAATAGATCCCGACACGGGGGAAATAACAGTGAACAAAGCTTTAGATTTCGAAACCAAAGACTTACACGAATTGGTCGTCGTAGCCAGAGATAAGGGAGCGCAACCGTTAGAGACAACAGCGTTTGTGTCCATACGTGTTACAGATGTGAACGATAATCAGCCCACAATCGACGTTATATTCCTAAGTGACGATGCTACGCCGAAAATATCGGAAGCGGCGCAGTTAGACGAGTTCGTAGCTAGAATCTCGGTGCACGACCCGGATTCGAAGACGGAATACTCGAACGTTAATGTGACTTTAAGCGGCGGCGACGGCCACTTCGATCTGCGGACGCACGATAATATCATATACTTAGTGGTTGTAGCCTTACCGTTAGATCGTGAATCTCAGTCGACGTATACGTTGAACGTTGTCGCGACTGATAAAGGTTCGCCCCCGCTGCACGCGTCTCGTATTATCAACCTGAGAGTTACAGACGTCAATGACAATCCCCCGGTGTTTTTGGAGAGCGTGTACAAAACTAGCGTCCCCGAAGCCGCTGCATCTGGTACTCCCGTTATCCAGGTGTCAGCGACGGACGTGGATGAAGCGGAGAATTCGGATATCCGCTATTCCCTGCTTCCTACCTCGCAATCTGATTGGTTCTCCATTGATGAGCGTTCTGGGCTTGTGACGACTCGATCGCGGGTCGATTGCGAAACGAATCCGATGCCTAGCTTGACGGTGGTCGCGAGTGACCGTGGTAATCCTCCCCTGTCTTCGACCGCTACTCTCTTAGTGACCGTGTTGGATGTGAACGATAACGAGCCGATCTTCGACCAGTCCTTCTACAACGTCACCGTGCCTGAGAACGAAGCTGTTGGCAGTTGCATTTTAAAGGTGAGTTCTTTATAACTAGAACACCTTAGATAGATCATCTTAGATCTTATTCCCAAAGTGTGACTTAATTACTTTTATGTTACTTAGTTAATATGTATATTTTTTAAATAGAGATTAAGCTTCTTTTTTCTACTAATCTTTTAAATCAAAATCAGTTTTAATTGAGTATAAGTAAAATTTAGTTCATTTCTACTTTTGGGGGAACCTTACTATGACTTAGTTTAATAATGGAATACTCGCAATATTAAGAATCTTACTATATTTGTACGTAAAATAAAATTAAACTAAGTATACCTTAATTCCGAGCCCAATATGAACGTGTCATTATGCAACTCATGTATAATCTAAGAAAAATAAAATGCAGAGACATTCAGAGACTTTCTCTACGTGTCGGTGATTACAGCTTCCGATGCCTCATTTATAGTCTCCCTATTAATCATAACTGTACCAAACGGATAGAGCCATTCCGTAATCGTCGGTTTTATTGCACGCTATTTACCGACTTTCGGAAACTCTAGCATTAGCCTACATATAAGTTACGCTTCATTATGTTAAATCTTAGATCGAGAAAGTATCTATTAAACGTGTAGAACGATTATGCCTGCTTGTCGCTGAAAATGTCAGGAAAATGTCAGTCGTGTCGCTGGAAGTGGCGCGGTGTAATTGTTTTCGTAGCTACTTCCTAGATAGAAGTTTGCGGAATGGTCTCATTTTGAAAATCGTTATAATTTCATCTTTATCTCAATTGTTCTATCACAGTGATTGAAACTAAAGCGACAGAACCGATTTAAATGTAATATTATAAATTTGTTGGCCTTGAAAAAGGTTATATATTTTTTACAAGTTATTGCACAGGAAAGCAGTACATGAATGAAAAATCGATTTTAGATTGAAAAAAAATGTAAGACACGGGCGGGACTCGAATTGGCTTCCACACGTTCCGTGCTGTCGTGTAATCAATTGAGCTACCGTGTCCTTATAAACCTATATGCACATGCATACATCGTTTTAAACTTTTTTGTCTGTTTTGACTAATCTTTTAAACTAAGGATTGTTGTAAAAGAGTTTCTCGTAATACAAAATAATACGGAGCGGAGCTATTGAGGAATGAATTTTATTAACAACCTCAAAGTAAAAGATGCACACGAGGCCCGAACAATTAGTCATCCGGACAGAACAATTTCATTTTATCTTGTAGCGGGATGTGAATTTGTTAAAAACCGCCCGATTTTCATTAAGGCTTATCTGTCGAATCCGTCAGGTAATAACTTTAATACATGAACTATAGTCATGAGTGGATATAAATCTATCACCAGTGATGCCCGTTTCGGCGCTGGTTCCTGCGCATCGGAAATTGCAATCTAAATTGAAATTTAAACAGTGCGCTGCGCCTGAGTGGTCCAACCGATGCGCTTTTGGCGGTAACTTGAAGTGACAGTACGGTTAAATCCTAGCGTTCTTACGGGTTATAGCTTTTTTTAGCAGATCATATCTGTTGCATGTCCAGGAATGTTTAATCTATAAGCTGAAGAGTTTGTTTGAACGCGCTAATCTCGGGAACTACTCGTTCGAATTGAAAAATTCAATTTTGTGTATACACAAAATTTAATTAATAATATATACACCCTTAAATAACCCTTATCCCACGTTTCGTTTTTTTAACAGTTATTATACAAATCACATGAATTAAATACTGTCTATAGTTTACGCGAGTAGTACACATTTAAATAAATGCTTTGCAGCAGCAGTCTCCCCGTGACCATGGCTGCTGCAAAACACCCGAAACGTCGGGCCGAAGTTAAAAATCATTTTCAAATAAGTTTAACTAATATATCGCGTTTTAAACCGTTAAAGTGTTTTATTTAAATCACATGAATTTCTAACTTCTTATTCTTTTGGTAGTTCATGTAATTAATTGATTCTACTTTAATACTATTTAAAGCATAAGATGTTTTGAAAATAAACCCCTATACAAAGGAACAATTATATATCTAATGATCTAAATATGAATCCATCATATCTTGTCTCAAATATGTTACCTAACCAAGAACCTACAACTTCTTTATAATATAATTTACTTACACCACAAGATACGAGACTTATAGTAAGAAGTAAAAATATGTATATATTTTGGGTGTCGGCGCGTTTCGTCTTAACTACATTAGATTTCAATACAGATAGTATTTAAATATAATGGTTTATGCGAGTAGTACATAATATTTAAATATACACTTTAACGGCTTAAAACGTGAAATTTATTACGTAAACTTATTTAAAAACTATAACTACGGCTCGACGTTTCCGATGCTTTGCAGCAGCCGTGGTCACGTGGAGGACTTGCGTCTCCTGTGTAAATTAGTAAATATGTTTAACTAATACATTTCGCGTTTCAAACCGTTAAAGTGTGTTTTTTTATACACAACTGTTTTACAGAAATTAAAAAAGAAGTAACCTCGAAGTCAAAATAAGGTTATTGTCATCCGAAAAGTAAAATATGCGAAGAATTTAACTTTACGGCCATTGCTCTGTTACGTATTTGCGTTCGGAACGTACGTGATTAGTATGTGTATTGTTTCATTATAGTTGGTTGCGATCTGGCCTAGATTATTTGCAGAAGATAGATATCCTTATACGATACAGATAGCAGATAACATCTGCCTGTATCCTATTTTTTCGCGCAACAAATGTTTCTCTGAAGACTTCGATACGTGACTTGTTCTTCCCATTTAATTGCTTTTTTCTTAGAAAAAAATGCCAAGTTGATCCTGTTCTTGCACCTTATGGCTGGTCTCTATCTTAAGTGTGATCTGCGAATCTACCTATAGCCTTACTTAACTTTTAATTACATACTGAAGGGGGCGTAAGGGAGAAGAAGTGATGTAAAGTAATTAGGTACGTTTGTTAAGTATTGTCTGTAATTTACGCGATTAGTACATATTTAAATAGAACCACAACTGCTGAAAAGCTTCTGAAATGTCGGGTTGAAGTTAAAATAAATTTAAAAATAATTTATCTAATTATATCACGTGTTTAACCGTGAAAAGTGTTTTATTCAATACGTACCTTTGCCCCTAACTATTAAATTAATAATTTTTGTTACTATTGCAAGTTTACTAAAAACCCCGTAAGTTTTTATTACCCCGCCTTTTTGTCTTTATTTTAGGCTTTTTTTTTAGTAACTGCACACATAGTGTAATTTCTTTAAAAGCAATTTTATGCCTTTAAAAATCGACTTTAAACAAGGATAGAAAAACAGACTATATTTTTACACATCGAATCCCAAACACAGTTAAACAGTAATTTCGTAACAAGTTTACAACCTCCATTGCTACAAGTTATGTATAGTCTATTACGGCATCGTGTTCGACTGTGCGTTTGATTTCCGGAGAAAAAAAGACGCCCCTTGATGGACATAAAAATGCGTCCCAAGTCCCACAGGGGGAAACAGGATTCCGCTGAACGTCGATTGCATTTCTTAATGGGGTTATAATAGGCCATTTGAACATTGTAAATTACAAGTTACAATGTAGAGATTAGATAGGTAACATCACAAAGCGATCGAGATACGCCGTACGTGTGCCTACTGCGGAATTGAGGCTGATTATACAATTGTTGCTATTTGTGAGAATCTAAAGCTGTGCTACTCTCCGATTTGAATTTACATCTGGAATGTACGGAAATGCACTAACACACTATATTTACATAACGCTACTTGTTAGATATTTATGTAGGTATTGTTATATTTATAAGAATAAAAAACAATAAAAATTAATGTTAAGGAAGTAAAATAAAAAAGAAAATCTCATATACCTCTACGTACATAATAGAAAATCCATAGATTTTTTTTTCTAACGTGAACAGAGATTTAATTACTTTCAAGCTATTTATGATTTTAAACGATTACGAGAATTTTATCAATGTAAATAAAACGCTTTTAACGGTCTAAAACGTGAATATATGATGACTAATCTTTAATTTATTTTAACTACGGCCAAACGTTTCGGATACTTTGCAGCAGCCGACGTCACTGGCGAAGCACAGTGCTCTTAGTTAACTAATATAATTCGCGTTTGTAACCGGAAAAAGTGTTTAATATAAATATGTACTACTCGCATAAACTTACCTGATTAACAAGACTTGAAATTGTAAATTCCGAAATCAAACTGGTTGCTTTGAAGAAAAGCTTTAGAGTAGTAACAAGCACAGAAAATAAATTGTATGTTTATTTCACTGTTGCAACCCAAAGTAAGTTTGTCCAGCAGTCTATAGAGAGAAAAAACTTACAGAATTATGCGCAGTTTCTACGATGCCAATTGCAAACTTAAATTATATAAATATTATTAAGAACTGGTAAAATTAATTTGCAACACTATATTAATTTTGAATGTCGCCTCGTTCCGAGCAGTAATGAATCACTGGTGCTTAACAGATTCGAATTCGTTATACTAAAGTATATATTTGTATGTCTGTTCTCCAACTTTCTCAGTTCACAAGCCCGACATTCATTTAAGACATTGTGGATTGGTCCTAATACGGATAATGACTGAATCTTAATCGCTATGCTTATGGTAGTACCATTTGAATAGACTGTTTCAAACGGTTTATTATATCAGAATTATATTCTCATTCAATTACAACGTCCTCTATATAAAGTATACAATGAAAAATCGGCGAGCGCTTGGCAACGGTTGGCTTAGAAGCTTTGCCACACAGAAGTTAATGCTGGATTTATTTTTTCTATAATAGAAAAGCACAGGCAAGCATCGGGTGTTCTTGATGGTAGGTGGAATATCCCAGACATATAACATCTGTACACGATGCGCTGTCGACCTATTTTGGCTTCAGATATTCGGAAATATATAGGCTGAAACCGAAACGCGATTAAACTTGACGGCTTTTTCATCTGTGGACGTTTCGTAACCCGGATGGAATTTCTATATTCCTACCATCCATTTAATATCCAGATTTCCAGATAGGGTCCAATATGTTTCAGATAAAATAATAAATTGATTAGA